TTCAAAGTGTAAATTCAGTAGTAAAAGTTGACAAAACTTCAAGATATAACTCTCCGCAATAACTACCGGATACAATTTCCACAAAATATTAGCGAAGAAATATACCACCGAAAATTGTCACACTTGTTAAAATTGTAGATCTTCCCTTCAGCAAACTGAAGCGCGATTCACACAAAATTTTACCACTATTACAGTACACTGAGCTCCCTAGAATTGGGATATGGAATCAGAGAGATATTCACAGCAACAATGTTTGCACTGGCTCTTATCGGATAATCAACGCAGGCAAGATTGGCTTATAGCTTCCGCTGGCGGACAGCTATTTTGGCAACAGAGAAGGGAGGTGTTGGATGTCGGAGAGTGAAATACTACCTACTCTCAATTGAAAACATTTAAGTATAAGCCAGAGATTAGATTGAAATGGAATAAAAAATCAACCCAATCTTATGAGCAAGCAAAGGTGGCACAATGAAGTTGCAATCGGTAAATAGACATTCTTGTGTCTACATTATCAGTATTTTAGTGTGGCGGTAATTTACTCTGTGGGAAGATGCGTGGCAGGTAATTGATTGCTTTTCTTGGATTTAAGTTCTTTCCCTTAGTAGGGGGAAAATAAGTGAATTGCAAACGAACTTACAGGAGGAGAGGATATGAGCTCAGTGTGTAGGTAAAACTGACAATTTTCACTTAACTCTCGTCGCATTTCCGAAAGTATTTGACAAGCGTTATCACACAGAACTTTAGAATCAATCGTGCACCGCACAGAATCAAGAAAATATATCGAAAACCTCCAAAATTAAACGAAAAACGAACACACGTAATGAGCAATGACCAACAATGACAAGCAATTTACTAGATTCTAACCTCAATAAACAACGCTGAGTGGTGGCTGCGATCGCTCCCGAAAATGTTCAAGGCTGGCGGCAACTTTAAATTCACGCACTGAATAACATTGACGTAAAATATTATAATTTTCTGCGAATATACACGTAGCCGTCTCAATTTTAATCTGATGGTGACGCCATTTTCCGAAAACTGAATCTCACCTCACTGCCAACGGCCGTGGAAGCGGTTGGCTCCGATCCTGAAACCCGTAACTTACGCTCGGCTCCTAACCGGTCTTACGGCCATGAAGGCCGCGCGGGGTCCACGGGACACCGGCCGCTGGGTCCAGTACTAGCTGGCGCACAGCGCGTTAACGCCGGGATCACCAGTGTCCAGAGCAACCGGGTCACAGGGCCGTAGTTTTTTTTTTGAGTGTGTCACTCCTACTACCATCGCACAATGGATCAGTTCAATGGGAGAGGTCGGGCAAAATGTGGAAACTTTAAAAGGTCATAACTCCGTTCATACAAAACTTTGAGGTATTAAACGTGGTTTCGTTGGTTTTCTCGTGAACTGTTCTTTTAGAAAAAACCCTGTTAAATTTGATAGGACAAATTAAACATCAGAATTAGCAGTTTCAGTTAAAAATTTCATGTCCGAAATCTCTAATTGATTTGATTTACTGTACATGGTAGCGCTGCTGGACTTCTCCGTTTCATTGAGAATTCCTTACAAAAATATTAGATGTTTCTGTATTCATGGAGGCCTTCATTACGTAAAGCACAATCTGCCCTTAAAGAGTATTTTTCTGGCCGTCATTAACCAACCACAATCCAAGGAAAGCCGACCCAGAATCTTAACTTTCTCGTATCTTGAAATAACATTGTTACGGCTCTTCTCTTATACTTGCGAACAGTTGTTTTATTTTAGAAAAGTCTCGCAAAATGATGAAGGAGTACGTCGCATGTAGGTTATGATTACAAGGGCACAAGGTCACGTATTCTAACTTCAATAGAACCGGAATAAATTATACCTTTTCTGTGGAATGAATAATTTTTTTCATCTAAAGCAAGAATTCGTCGCTTGGCATAAGGGCGTAACTACACATTGGGATGAGCTCGGAAAAGCATTGAATTATATGGGGCCCAGGGTTCATTGAAGATTGTAGTTACGTCCTTATGTCAGGTAGACGACGAATTACGGCTCAGGAGTAATCAAGATTAGTGATTGATAGATCTAAAAATTTCAAAAGTCTGCAGACTTTAACATATTCTGTTTATTTTTTAGACGGAAATAAGGATTTATATACTTTCGACCGTATCTTTTTTCACCGTTAATAAACACAATTTGGATTTATACTCCTAAATCATAAAGCGTAGCTGTGAAATGCCGAAAATTTTTTGGAGGACGTGTAGGAAATAATATGGAATTAATAAAACTATAAGAGTCTCAAACTTAACCTTTCGACGAAGTCAATTTTTTTAGACCCCTTATTCCAAAATTTCAAAATTTTATGAGTCAATTCCTCCTCAGACCCTCAAGACTAATTGTTTGCTTAACTGTAATGAGGAATTCATATGTCAAGCAACATTTACGCTCTTCGCAAAAATATAATTGTGTAAATGTGAGGTTAATTCCTCCTCAGACCCTCGAGACATAATTGTTTACTTAACTGTAATGAGTTAAGCCTTGTCTATATTTCATCTTTGTTATTGTGTTAGACGTAACTACTTCAATAGGTGCAAGTTAGTCAATTTTATTCGAACATTAATTTTTGTTATATTTCATATGTCAAGCAAAAACGCTCTTCGCAAAAACATAATTGTGTAAATGTGAGGAGCTAAACTTTGTTCATTGAAATTCTCGTTCATTTTCAAATTGTTGGCCACTGTAATTTCACCAACCCATTATCTCAATATTTTAACCATTATATGAAAATGAATTACAATTTGTGAAAAATTTACGTCCAAATAAGAAAGTGAACTTTAAAATATTGTATTCGTGATTTCCATCTACTCCTCATTTGAGTGAATACTCTAGCGGAGTCACCCTCTACGTACACGCACAGCCGCAACCTACGCTCCATCAGAATCTCAAGAAGTGGAACTTCCTGACACCATCTGAGACTGGAGAGAGAGGCAAGTTTTAGCATCCTGTTCTGTTCCTAAGTACTCCGTGCCGCAGGAGTGTGTTGTGAAGGCTCCTGCTGTTCAAGTGCTTATCAATGGGAAGGTGTCGACAACTTCAACTAGCCTCTTCTTCCAGCCAGTCATCAATCAGCCTTCAGCCAGTCGTCAACCAGTATTCAGCTTCCAAACACCCCTCAGCCAGCCTTTAAATAGGCGATTTTACCCTAATAGACCGTATTCGATAGTGGTTCGATTTATCGTTTGGTTCAAAACAATAGAACATAACCTCAAACAAAACTAATAGGATTTAAGTTGGAAAAGCTGAAAATGAGAAAATTCCTCACAATTTCACTTTGCATTGGCATTTGGTACTCAAAAGAATAAAAAATCTATTTCAAAAGACCCATTCTCTCAGATTTCTGAATTGACTTTTGAGGCTATGTTTATGTTTTGAACCAATCGATATCGATACCATCTCACCCGTTTGATGTATCGAATACGATCTATTGGCATTTCAAAACGAAATTGGCTCTTCTTGCGGTCGTCGTTATCAAAATGGGAAACAACCAGAAGCAAACTCGGCTTTTTTCATAAATAAGAGGGGCCGTTCATAAAATACGTTCATCTCTGCGGANGGGGGGGGGGGGGGGGGGTCACGGAACTCACTTCTTACGCTGTTCTGTTTTTACGCGTAATGGGATAAGGACCTACGATACAAAAGTCTTACAAAAGGTAGCTGGGCGAGGAAATCTCAAATGTTGTGTTACGTATTTTACGTATGAACGGCCCATAACTGGGGGTTTACGTAGTTAAGTACCCACATGCGCATTTTCTATTCATAGAATTTCTTTACGTTAATCATCCATTTATATTATAGTATTTAGTTTTATGGATGTTCTTATTTTCTTCTTTGTAATTTATAGTAATAAGTAACCATCCTGTCGTTGCTTACCCTATGCTTAATTCTTAACTTAAGATAATTGTTTATATTTCTTTTATCGGAAGCTAACAATAATAAAACTCTTTAAAAAAAAAAATCATAGAATGAAGGATTTTAGGGGTCTGAAATTGTATTAAGTTCATTTGCACATAGTAATTAGAGGATATCGATGTTACGCAAGTGAGTGGTGGTTGCAGAAACACCTAATTAGTAGAACTGCTAGTGTATTCAAGAATTATTTGATAAAGCTTTTATTGACGGATCAGAAAACCGATGATTTCAGCCTCTGAGAAAAAGTTTCAAAATATGCTGGAGTTAACTTAAGAATAATAGGCACCATTCAATATGAACTGTTACCTTATCTTTCAAACAAAATCTCAACCACACCGAATTAGCAAAAAGGAATCAAATGCATGAGGCACGCTTGTAAAGTTATAATTTTTAAAGGAAAATCAATGGCAGGTGTGGCATTTCTTAACAATTCAGAAAACTTCGCCTTTTTAAATGAAATCTCGGTTCGATCCAGATGCATTGCTAGCTCGTTCAAAGGTAATCTTTAATAAAAATTGTAATTTATACTCCTCAAAAGATTTTACTTTATATCACATATACTGAATTCCTAGTAAAATAAGTCGTCTCCAAAGGACTAAAACGTCCCTGGAGAACAATTTTTGTATTTGCAGGACGATGTTTTCATCAGAGAACTGTGAATTTTAACTAGGGATTACTCTTTCTAGGTATTTGTAACCAAAATTCAAAAAATTTTGTAAAACTAAAAAACTCATGATTTCATGAAGTGAAGGTCGTTAATTATGAGTTGGCAAAATCGCTTTATGTTATTTTGAAGAAATCAATGTATTTTCTTTGGAAGTTTTAAGAAAGTCTGTATGTAAACAAGTATGAGGAAGTGTATCTGTTATATTTACTCTGTTTAGGAAAAACATCTGAAGAGCTCATCATTACCTCTCAATAGCTACTCTTTTTAGAAATGTACCCAAGGCAAGGTGATAATACATTGATTTTTTAACATAATCTTTTTCCGTGAATTTTTCGATGTAGGGTGTGTGTGCTAAGCACACTGTGCGTTAATGATTAAGACAAATGGATATCATGTAATAATTATTTTGTATTGTGGCAGACGAACATGCAAATAATACATATCCAGCTCTTTATTTGGACAATTTTTAACAACAATTATTAAACAAATTGAAAAAGCCTAGTAAACATCCATGTTGATTTTATTTAGTTTAAAAATTGCGAAACGAATAATTTTAGGTGTACATCTGCAAATGTGAAAAAAGTTATCATGTTGAGGACTGTTACACAGGATGTTTCACAAAAAATTTGTCTAAATTTTGAAAACATATACCTTTACGATTCATCTCATTTTGTGGAAATCCACTATTCTTTAAAAATCTCGAGGATTGCTTCTCAAGAATAACTTTCACACAAATGTGTATCAGTTTGTTTTTTTTAAATTTCAAAAAAATTATTTGTACAGTATTCATCTCCTTTTGTGTAAATTTATCCGGAAGAATGAAAGTCTGTTCTTCTTTGTAGTCTGCATAACCTATTGATTAGCCCCGCTTAGTGTAACACTTCAGCTTCTTATCATTATCGAAGCAACCTCCGTAGGCCCTGTAACCCTGCTTCTGACAGCACAGCTCCCGATCAGCTATGGGTTTCTTGCAGATATCATTACACGCTTTCACCTCCTCGGAGGCAGCTTGTGTTTGAGTTATCACAGCACACACGACTAAAAGTAACAGGAAGCAAAACTTAATAAAAGCAGCCATTTTGTTAGAGTAAAACACTTTAAAAGGCGATCAGAAAAGAGTCACTTTTGAAATACAGAGAACTGCGGATTCGGATGATCTGTGCTCGGTTTGGACGAACACGATAAATTTCGTGGAGTTGATAATTTTGAAGACGATAGGAGTAATGTGGTTACTTGGCCTTGCTACTGAAGAACGACATAAGTATATAGATAGATCCTCGTCTGATACGCGGTTTATAGGGTATGGACTGATTACGCCTCTGTGACGTGACCTTTCTAAAGAGAGGAAACGAGGGCAATTTGATAAATTGACGTATTTATTATTGCTTTTTATGTTTCTGATCAAACGATGCTTTCTTTAGCGTATTTGCGTTTCAAACTGGCTACATGATCGTGGACCGATGGTGAAAGTACAGAAACTTGAATCTCGATCGCGGTGTTTCCACATCTCAGCTCTTATTTGGATTGCATTTTGCAAAAAGGAACCACTAGCATTGCAATGATGCTAAGATTGTGCAACTTCATCCTTTGCAATAAAATTGCGGACATCGTGAAAAACTATGAAATTTAGATGGTAATTTTTGTCTTAAATTCACAGTTTTTAGCGAGTAAAATAGAAAGTATTAATGGATAATCGGGTTTTTCCTCCGAGACAAAAGAAGTTGCACAATCTTAGCAACATTGCAATGCTAGTGGTTCCTTTTTGCAAAATGCAATCCATTTTATCTTTCCAAGAGAGCGTGCATGGCGCGTAGTGGATCGAGTCTATCAAAGAGGTCGGACATGAAATTTTGAACTAGAACTGCAAATTTTGATGTTTAATTCGTCACATTTCAAATTTTAAGAGGTGTCTCTAAGAGAAAATTTTACAAGGAACCCATTTGGAACCACTTTTAAAACCTCAAGGTTTTGTATGAACGGAGTTGTGAGCTTTCAAAGTTCCTAAATTTTGTCCAAGCTCTCCCATTGGCTCGATCCAATGTATGGCGTAGTGTTTCTACGAGACGTTTTTAGAGCATATTCTTGAATGATTACAGGGAAACCACTCGAAATTTTATGAAATATCCATAGTAGGAGTACTAAGCAGATCCAGACACTTTGAACGGGGAGGGGACGGAAGGGGGGTCTAGACCCCCCTCCCGGGGGGGCTTTAATATTGTAAAGCTTTGTGAAGTATAGCTTCTAACTATGCAAAAGTAACCAGTTTTACTAAAGTTTTGGACAAAATAAAATAGAGTTTGGTGCGGCTTGCAATTACACCCTACTTGTAGTCCCACCAATTAAATTTCACTAGAATAAAGAGTTAGTAAAACAGAGAATAATAATAATAGAATACACAGAATAATAATATCTCTCTAGAAAATTTTCGATATTTTAAATGATCTATTATGCAGTTTGAGTCAATTTTGTCATTATTTTTTATTAAATATAAGTGTCTTTACTTCTCTTTTCCTCCGCATTCTTTCCTAAATGTCACGCTCTTGTTTGTTTGTTTGTTTGTTTGTTTGTTTGTTTGTTTGTTTGTTTTACTACTAGTATACCTTCCTTTGTTCCCTTCTTAATGACAAACCCTGTAACCTAACAACAGAGGTATATTCATGGCCATAGAGGCTGTACAACTACGGCTCAATCTACTTACACGGCTCTTTGATACCACTATTCGTGTTGTACGGATGTGCTTGGAGTATCATCAAAATTGAAGGCGAAAGGAGGCACTTGGTCTTGTCGCCGACTTCCTGTCACATTTAGGACGACTTTTTCTATTCGAATGAGAGAACTATCCCCCATTTTCGAATATGTCAACTGCATATCTCGTTGCGACGTTGTAGATTTCCTATTGCATTTTTTGATTTTCCGACGGATACTTAACCGTGACGGACACTTACTTTTATGTGGTTTTGAGAGTGGAACCATTTTTCTCAAATTATATCCGTGAAATCATCCGAATTCTTCCAGTAAATGCGTAATTTGAATTTGAAGATGATTTTATTACTAAAATAGCCAGCCACGGTATTAAATGCTATACATTTTAAGAGTATAACACTAATCAATATCGACAATGTAAGTCCGCAACCATGGATCTCAGTTTGCGATGTTGCAAACTCCCTGTCATAGGTACTTCATTTTTTAAATGGAAAACTACTCAATGGCAATTCCTAAAAACTGCCGTGATTCTTCCTCTGAAAAAAGAAAATTCTGCGAAAACTTGAAGGAATGATGTCGCCTTGTTCTCCTAAAAAAAAAAAAAAAAAAAAAAAAAAAAAAAAAAAAAAAAAAAAAAAAAATGAAAAAAGAGCGGAGATTTTCAAATATCGCAAACGAGATACGTCGTTGCGGGATTACAGCGTTGATATGTAATATATTTGGACGTATTTCTGCCAAACGGAACTATGTGCATTAAGACATGAGCCCTGAGGCCCATAAGAATACATGCTTAACAGGGCTCACGTCATAATGCACATAGTTCCGTTTGGCAGATCTACGTCCATTTATAAACCCAAAGGAATGAATAAAGGGAAACCAAATTCTTATTATTGGGGGGATGCCCAATGGCCTATGGGAAGAACATCTCCATAGCCACACCTGCTGGATTCCCCTCTGACGAACCGAGAGGTATGCTGTTTTGCTAAGGAAGAACGCCGTATGAACATTCGAGAGTTGCCAAATTTCCGTCGATAAAATGTTTATTTTTTAGAAAAGTTTTGAATATTTTGCCTTGGAATTTTCAGACACTTTACATCAAATTACAAAAAAAATTATCTGAGAAATTGGCAGAAAAAAATTTAAAAAATTTCCTGAAAATTTGCGAGAGGAAATTTAGCAACGCCTGAAAGCTCATACGGCGTTCTTCCTTACCCAAGAGGGTAAAAATCAAGAGTCAGAAGCCGGTTGGAAATAAAATTACTTTATCTTTAGTTAATATACCTCTTAACATCAACATAACAATGCTTATAAATATCTTAAACCTTGTAACATGTAGAAAATTTACACTTAATACAGAACATTAAAAAAGTTTAAATTAAGTTATTCATCAGAAAAGTCTTCAAACGTAAAATAAATTCGAGATCACACCTCTTCCTTCTCGGTTGAAATCCACCTACAAAAAGTGAGTGAATCAGACATGTCACAGGACTCCAGCCCTACCACCACCAGAAACGGAAGCCTGACATAGAAAAGGTTCTATGAAATTTCGTGTTCGACTTCTAGAGAACATATAGAAAACCGAACGAAAGCACGGAAAGCAAAAGCTCCACATATGATTTAATTGACCTTACCATTAATCGAGAAACATGTCCATGTTAGTATTTTATATTAGTCGTGATATTATCAATCGTCTTCCTGTCATGATTCATCATGGCGAAATGGTTCTGATGAAGTAAGTATAATGCATGAATACAATTGTTAAGTGCCTGTTTAATTGTCTTGTAGCAAAAAAGAATCCTGTGACTACTATCGAAATATTTTCTAACGGTACTTGAATGATTTAGTTGAAACGTCTCCGAACATTTCTTGCAAAAATTTCTGAAAAAAGTTGATAACTAATTGTTTGTAAGTTTTTTGAGTGAAAAAAAAATGGAAAGTGTTCATGTCAAAAATTTACTTAAAAAATATGACACCCATCCCTTTCCACAACCATTGGTGCCAGAATCTCAAATCTAAACTTAGTTTCTTAATCTAAAGAAAAGCTTGTTCTTGATCGGAGGATCATATTACTTGTGAGTAATTGTCCGGAAGAGAGTTTTTAATGTATTTTAGACAGACATTACGATATTTTACAGTTAATTGATTTAAAGCTGATGTAAGCTATATTGAACTCACTGGAAAACTGTTTAGTTCAGCAATAGAGTGCCGTTCTAATGATTTTAACTATCGGTATTTTTAGGATGAATTACACAGAGTAAATTTTTTACCGGTTCGAACTTACGTTCCTGAACGCGATCACTGGTTATGTAAAGTCAAAAAATTAATATGCTGCATGATGCATAGAAGAACTTATTGATAAAGTTTTATAAATTTGAAAACGTATTAAAAAGTTGTTCATACATTTTCAGCATGAAATCTACTTACGATCGTGACACAAATATTTCAAGAACTTTCAATCAAGTTGCGCCCAGGAAATTTCTGAGAGGTTTCAGCGATTTAAGAGAGTGGAAATATATGTAACAGAAAAATCCATAGCTTTAGAGAAAATTGTAACATTAGACAAAGATATTTATTTCCCAAATTTTCGCCGAGAATACGTGGTTTGAGATTGGTCCTGATCTTAATATTATCTGCACGGAGGTCTGAATAAAATAAAAGTCAAATATCGAGGCGTAAAAAAATATTAATCAAGTAATTAAAAATTATATAATTTTTTATTTCCCCATATAATACGCGAGTTCCTTTAAAAATCATTCGCGTCCTTGTTTACTTTACAAATAATTGAGACAACATCGTACCCTGTGCCAGACCGTTTGTTACGAAAGAATCACTTTCAATGTTTGGGAAGCTTAATGCGAACAATTGATACGGATTTCGGTTTCTTGATTGAAAACAATAGCAAAAAAAAAACATGTTGGAACCTGAATTTTGGGGAAATTTTGAACGATTTGTCAGTCAAACTAGACTAAATGATATGAGTATTTTTGTTTTATAATCATGAGTTCATAGTATTAGCACGTATCTTATGAATTCTCTACTTTCTACACAACTTTTGGAGTAGTGTCTTGTACTTTTCATTACTCTTATGCCGGAGGAAGTAATCTCAATGCCACAAGGTAAAGACACTAGACAAACTCCTCAACCGATGGATTTCTAATCCACATTTCACCCGATCCTGGAAAAACATTTCCATCGCTCTGCATGAGAGTTTAATTAGAAACAAAACTTGATTTTTGTGCAATCCTTAATGCAGCAACCACCCTAGAAATGTGAATTTTAGGTATACGTCAACTAATAACATTTTCTCTCATGCATTCTTCCACATAAACGGCGATGATTTTTTCTCCCATGTTTAGAATACAAAACAACGTACAAAAATTATCTGTAAGTATTTTAGATTAACGATAATTGATTTGATAGTTTATATTCGGATGGTAGATATGGGAGGGGGTTCAAAACTTCACGCTCCTCTCCCAAAATCAGACGCACAGTGAGAAAAAAACGAGGGTTCACCTCCTGACCGCAAAGTGGATCAACCAATCAGACCAAACGACCCTTTGTGGTAGCCTCGTCTTACATCGCACAACTGATTAAAAAATAGTGTTCAAATTTTACCATAAAACAGGCTAATTTGATTTTTTTTAGATTTTGACCCCTGATTCCTCTAAAAAAATCAATGCATCGTTTTTGTTCAACACATTTTGGTCTCTATGATTTTTCTGTGGAAAAGGCGACGACTAGTTAAAAAAATTCAACCATTTTCTACATAACATCATAAATTAGGTTCGTGAGAGGGGCATAAAAAACTGGTTTGAATTGCATCCTGATCATTTTTGTGATAATGATTAATGTGATCTCATCCACAGTTTTTTGTCTGCCTGTAAATTTTTCATGAGCATGGACTTACGAAGTAAAACAAAGTGAAGATTTCTCAGATACAAACTACTTGAAAAGTCGAATAGAAAGACCTTCACCCCGACATTATTTGAAATATGTGACAAAATTTCTTGCGGTAAATTTGACATTGGTGTCACCATTATCCGTGACGTCAGGAATGAAGGTTCTTCCTTCCACACCAGTGGCGTGGCGTGCTTTGCGATATATCGATTGATCTGCCATTTAAACATAGGATAAGAATCGAAAAACGGGGTGTTCGCAACGAACACCTTAATAATCGATTCTTTACCACAGTGTCAAATGGGAAAATATCGATAATCGATCATTCATGCCACGCCACTGTTTCGTGCGTACATGACTCACTCTAGACACGTGTACTTCTGATTGAGAAATCTCCTTTTGGAGCAACTGGTGCAGTCTGGAACTGAAAAAAAATCTCACCAATGTAAATGCTTCCTCACTTGGATGGAAGGATCAGGAATTATCAACTTTTATATAAGGAAAATTAAGCTGTGAGCTATTGCTCCCCCCCCCCCCCTCTGCCCNCCCTCTCTGCCCCCTCAAAAACGCATGACTCAAGAAAAATTACAAATAGATGCAAGGCTTCAACTTTAGTCTGATTTTGGGGAGTGGACAATCCGCTAGCGTTGCTCCTTCCGAGAGGCTGCGTCTCTGGAGAGTTTGGCTTCAGTGGCGTGGCGTGCTTTGCGATATATCGATTGATCTGCCATTTAAACCTATGGGAAAGGATCGATGACAGCGCAATAAACGATCACCTTAATAATCGATTCTTTACCACAGCTTCAAATAGGGAGACATCGATAATCGAACTTCAACGCCTCGCCACTGTTTGGCTTCTTGTACAAGATCCCATCCAAATCCTGATCATGTAAGAGACAGAGGGAGATAATGATGGATTAGGTTAGAGATCACTAGGGGTGCGTTTACACCTTCTCTCCATCCTCAATGCCGGAAGTGTGGATGTTCCGTTTCTTCATGACCATGTCCAAAGGTTTCTTGGCGCTGGTCTCGTGGACTTTTCCTTTCTGCAAGGATTTCGGACTTTCGGCCAGGCTAGACTTCTCGCCTGAAAATTAACATATTTCAAATTATGAGTTGATGGCAACGAAGGAATATTTATAAAGGGATGATCTCTGTTTATAATCCCTTGAACATACTTCAAATGTTTAATAATGGGTGAACCTTTGCTGCGGCCTGATTGTTAAAATTGATAGACAAAACGATGGACGAAGAAGACATAGGGAACATAAAGCGATCCTATTTGTTGATATGGGTGGTTGTTAGGGATTAAATGGGAAAATGATGGACTAATTATGGGGTCTCCGGCGGGTTGCCGTTATAGTTTGTCTATATTACTTACCTTACTTGTCCATTGCAACCACCCGCTTCTACTAAAACAATTATTTAAATTTAAGTTTTTCTTCTTTATCTATTGCTTTGTCTTTCAATTTTAATAATTCACCCGCTAGGGCAAAAAGAAAGAAAGAAAAAAAAAATTAAGTTCTATGGAAAATGGCTCGCAAATCGATACGAAAATTTGGAGCGCCGAAAGTACGAGTAGAAAGCTGTAATTTTTAAAGGCTCCTCAAAATTATTTGTATTTTAAGCTGTAACCTTTAATACCATTCTTCGGATTACTGTGACATTATGCGCGCTTTTCCTACTGTGTCCATCACCGTGTGCAGCGCGCAGCGTCGAAAGCTGAATTTTTAGTTTTGTTAGGCCAAAATTCACCGTGGTCGGTCGAATATATATTTTTGCCAAACATTTTTCGGAGATTTCATAGCTTCTTTTAAGCAAAAACACTTTTTATTGTTTGACTGCGATCAAAAATTTCAGGGCCCCTCGTTATTATCTACGTCGTCCTCCGACACATTAATGCCGTTAATTTTGGCATATTGATGACACTAGCGTTTAATTGATTTACTTAAACGCATTTGCTCTCAATGAAACTGGATGCAAATTAAGAAGATAGAATGAACGATGATGCAGGAAGGTTTTATGTAGATAGGTTTTTTTCGTTTGATTCATTTGTGCGTAGCTCCTTTTGGCGTGTAAAACGTCCATGCATTAGTGGTATATATTTTTTTTAAATCCTGGTCCTCTTGCTACACTGAGCCTGTACTAAAACTATTTTTATCGATATACGTTGTTAAGTGTTTAAGACTTTGGGAACTTACTTGATTTTGAACTCATACTGTTGCTGTTGCGATAAAATGATTGGTGAGAAAATCCCGAGTCCGGCGAATTGTCTCTTCCGAATCCCTCTCTTGCTGCAGAGGTCAATTCTGGATGTTCGTTCAAAGTGTCAGTCAAAGCAGCGACTAAAACATCTGCGGACAAATTGATGGATTGATCAAAATTGAAATTCATAGTTGATGGATGTATAACGCTGTATTAAGAAAATTGCATATTTTTCGCATGGAAAACACAATGGGATACCAGATAAAACTGCCGTTCACAGGAAAAACGTCGTATCTCCAATTAATACTCAGCATTTTTATTCCGCACATACTGTACTATTACGAGAAAACCTGATCATTAAGATGCTTTATTTTGTGAATTGGAATTCTCAGTGGTATGGCACAGTTATTTTAGAACTAAGAAGGATAAATGGTCGTTAGTTTTTCGGTAATAAATCATTTTTTCGGTAAAAGTCTGAAAAAAATTAGAATGGAGTTACGATGTCTTTGCTGAGGACGGTAGAAAAGCCCTTCGTCACCAGATTCCTCTTCAGAAGCTTACGTAAAAAAATGCTCAAACAATGAGGAGCTCAGGTAAAAGAATTTTTAATTAACAGTACTTTAATCCCATAAATACAAATATTTGTATAATGAGCGTATTTTTTGATCAGTATTAAAGATCAGTGTGTATTTTAATATGAACTGATTTCCGAACTTTCTGACGCGTTAATCACTGTCTACAGGAGCGAGGCGTAAATGATCGATTTGCGAACACCCAGTTTATCGATACTTTTCAAGAAAAAAGATAAAAGAAAAAGAAAAAAGAAAAAAAAGGAAAAAGAAAAAAGGAAAAAGAAAAAGGAAAAAGGAAAAAAGAAAAAAGAAAAAAGAAAAAAGAAAAAAGAAAAAAGAAAAAAGATAGAAGAAAAAAGAAAAAAGAAAAAAGAACACAGAACACAGAAAACAGATAAAAGAAAAAAGAAAAAAGAAAAAAGAAAAAAGAAAAATGCAAAACGTAAAAGGAAAAAGAAAACAGAAAATTGAAAACAAAACAGAAAATAGAAAACAGAAAAAACAAATAAGCAAAAAGAAAGGAAAGAAAACAATCTGATACGGAGATTATTTAACAAGGCGTCCTGGGAAAATTGTCTCTGTGTGCGGTATAGAAACTTCCTCAGAATGTGTGGAACTGGAGAAAGATGGAAGAAAGACAACCCCCATCAATTTTCCATGATGTTCGGACGTCACCGATTTCAATCATACGTGATCACGAAGAGCCGAGATTCCAATAGAAGCGGAAAACTTTGAGTTGTTCTTACCGAGAACTTTCTTTTCCAGCGTCCGGGAAATCCTGCCCTGCTCCGCTTCGCTTTCCAGGAAGTCCGTGAACTTTTGTAGAGCTTCCTGGGCTTCGGCGCTACCTAAAAAGAGACAAAAACGAAGAAGAAAATCAAACACGACGTTTTACGCCGAAACGAGGGCACGAGGGACTAGCATCCCCCGATCCGAAATGTAAACATTGCGCCAGTTGCGTCCACAGCTTATTATAAAATTAATAGGCAAATCGATAGACATAGCAGAGATCCCATTTTCAAGGAACTAGCTCCGAATTCCGGAACTTTTGAGATTTTTCCGAATGTTTCCCGGAACTTTTGAAATTCTCGAAATGTTCCGGAATGACTATCAATGTCTTGGCGGAACAGATGTTAGAATGTTAGAATACAGCTCAGCATGGGCAGCTGTGGAACGCAAGTGGATAACTCGAGTTTGGAACGCTGTGAGCGAAAGAAAAGGCAAAGCGCCTTCAGTTTTTGCGTAGGCAACATTGGCAAATCCAGGACACGAATAGTTGCATCAAGGCGCTGAAGTTAGAGTGGCGATTATTATAGTCTGCTCCGGTTGCACAGTGCTGTTATTATTCATTCGTGGAACAAACGCAGTACACGCAAGAAAGGCAGAATGACCCGTTTTTCATTTTCATTTTTTGTTTATAGCTTTCCCTATTAATTTCAACAGCTAGCCCGCAGGAGGTCAATTCTAAAATCGGAAAAAATATACTTGCAACCAGCTGGAAACATCATAATTATCTACGTGAAAGGAATTTTGTTTTAGATTTAAATCAATCGATATAGACTGATTTAGTGACTACGTCATTCGATATAATATCGAACTCTTGGTTCAAACGAAAACAAACTGAAATAACCTCATGTGCGAAATATTCATAAGTTCATTGTGTTAATTTATTACATTATTAAAAACGAGAACATTCGATTTTAAGAAACACCCGGACGCTTTTATCACCATGGTGCAAAGAGCGCGAGTGAGCGCGAATCAGAAACAGGGTTCTGTATTTGTTTACATTTGAACCAAGGGTTCGATATTATATCGAATGACGCAGCCACGAAATCAGTCTGTTGTCTATTCTACCATGCTAAGGAAGAACGCCGTATGAGCATCCGAGAGTTGCCAAAGTTCTTTCGATAAAATGTTTATTTTTGAGAAAAGTTGTAAAAATTTGTCCTTGAAAGTTTCAGACACTTAAGATCAAATTACAAACAAAATTATCTGAGAAATTGGCAGAAAAAATTCAAAAATTTGCCTGAAAATTAGTGATTTGCGAGAGGAAATTTGGCAACACCCGAAAGTTCATACGGCGTTCTTCCTTAGCACGGCAGTATTACTTTCGATCATGAGTATCTGCACTTATTTAACATTTATTTATGCAGAAAACCGTAGTATTGCCAATTTGAAGAATTCTCTCAGAGTGTCACCGTTAAGGAATCCATTCGAGCGGAATTTTTGTTGCGATGAGATGTGCTATGTGCATACACCGTGATAACGATAAGAACTTTCTTAAACTTTCCTCCCTTCAAAGAGATCGATTGAAGAAGACAGTGGGCGATGTCTTTTCAAGTCGCAACACGAACTCCTTCATAATGCAACTTCAACTACTGGGACCGCAGGTGTTCGGCAGTCCAACTGAGAACTCAGCCAAAGTTTCTTGGGAAGCGTGCACACTTTTTCAATACTCGCCGCCTGTCCTCTGTGCTCGTTTTCGTCTATTGATTGCCAGGAATAATGACGTTATATTTTCTTTTCGTCGCTTGGTGGAACGATATGGGGAAGTTCACAGCACCGAAAAAAAATTGAAGTTAATTTAACATTCTGGATGTAAAAAAAGTGTGCGAGAACTTACAAAATGCTAAAATACCGGCCACAGCAGTTACTTCAGCAATGCCAAGATGTAAAATTAAGTGCTGTGGCGGGTAATTCAGCATTTATAAGTTCTCGCACACTTTTTTTACATTCAGAATGTTAATTTAACTTCCCTTTTTTTTCGGTGAGGTATTGGTCGATAATACGTGACATCCTCAATGTGATGGTCGAATTTTACATTTTCAAAAAACAAATGCCAGCCTTTGGTTTTATCATTTTAATTTTTTGAAGGCAGGAAGGGAGGAGGAACTTCGCAAAACTTTCGCGTACGAAACTTGACTTTGAGGAAAAATTATTAAAATTTTGCAAATTTCCGAAGTCTCAATCACCAAAATACGACTCCTTGCGCGGCAGCGATTTTCGCAAGTTGGTCGCATTGGATTGATAGCAGTGGCGAGGCGTGAATAATCGATTATCGATATTTCCCCATTTGAAGCTATGGTAAAGAATCGATTATTGGGGCGTTCGCTGCGAACACCCTCTTTATCGATCCTTTTCCATATAGGTTTATATGACAGATCAATCGATATATCGCAAAGCACGCCTCGCCACTGATTGATAGCATATAGCAAAAAGGAACCAGCGCTTAATTACAGTGTTTTCAAAATCGTACAAATTCTTTTTTTCTTTTAAAAATACTAAGTATATGTACAGTGTTAAAATTTACACGATTATTTCCCATTAAAATTGACAATTTTCTGGTGGGATGCAGAAACTATTTGCTATTTCGGAAGATTTTTTAGATAATTATGAAGAAGCAACATTTTAACAACATTGTAATTGCCTTTTTGCTAAATGCGGTCCAATTTATGTTTGCAATAATCAAATAATCAAGGGTTATAGAGAGAGTTATGACAACACAGCTCATGGATTTTACAAACGGGAATAAAGATTACACAAATCGGACGTTTCTGGTAATCTTTGATCAGCCCATTCCCGAATTCCTATCTCTGTTCCCTCTCTCATTCCATTTGTTCCTTGCCGTACCCCCAATGCCCCGGTCCATTCTAGTTTATAATCTTTGCGATTGGTGGAACTGTAATCTTTATTCCCGTTTGCGACACTGTAAAGACCTAAAATATGGGAACCAATCAGAAATGGATTCGCATCGTCTTAACTCTCGGTATGAAGGGAATTTAATCAAGGGAAATTGCCTCTCTTTAAATCGATTATTTATGGTGTTAAATGGAGGGGAACTACGTTACTAACTGGCAAAATTCATCATTGTCGTTGCCGCGCAAAGTCGACTCATCGCTAAGGCATATATTGAAGGAAGTTATACTTACTTCGTCGGAGAGTCTGAGTGAACATGACTTTGGCTAACTGGTAGACCATATCCTCCATCGAGTACTCGTTGTACAGGAAGTCGGCAACTTTAAGCTTTTCCAATACTTCCTCGTAGTCTTCATCCGACGTCGGTGCTGCTTGTTTGGTTCGCGGATCTGTACAGAAAGTTCAGAAGTTGATGCTTTTAATCAGTATGTTCGACCCACATTTATATGCAAAATAATAAAAAAAGCGACAGCGCGTGTAATTACAAGATGTAGATAACACTAGTGTATGGTGCTGCGGGAATGTAACGATATTATATTGGGGCATTTGCCGAAAGCAAATTGAAGTGTAATTCTTTCTTTTTTTTGCGTAAGAGTGCAAGTCCATGAAATATTTTGAAACTGTCACAGAATGAACAGCCAAGAATACTTTGACAAAAACGGAAATATTAGGACACTTTAAAGAAAATTTTTGGAAATTTTCCTTCTGGCGATTCCATGAAAATTGGCAAAAAGTGGATATTCGATCTAAATTCATTGTACCGCTTCTAGGTGAGACAGATTGCCTCAATTTGAATGATAATCGATTGTTTAACATTCACATAAATGGAAGAAAAATAGTACTACCAACTTGCAAGAATGGCCACAGAATTTTACTAAACGCGGTTGGTCGTAAAGGTAACATTTTCCTAACCATGGAATTTTCCCACTTGTCTGTTCATGTATTAATAAACTTTCCCTGGTAATAACTTGGAAATATTGCAAGGAAACGATGCCCTTATGCAAAAAAGCGATTCGATTTTCAATCAATTCCATTAGACAATAGTATTATTGATTAATTGCAAGCGCTTTCATTTTTCTACTTCCTACATAAAATAAGGTTTCTTCCTCCATAGATCAACCCTCACAAGTCTTTAGAAAATGATTCCCCCTTTCACTGAATATAACTAACACTAGAACTGCATTTAATAACCCCGGGGGATTTCGTTTCCCGCAACGCTGCGCTGTGTGACATCCTCAGAGCAAAAAAAAAACCATTCATTCCCCTCCCCCTTTGCACACACAACGGTCTATCCTACTTTTTGTTTTTAAGTCAAAAGCTTCACCTACAAAACTAAATCCTCTCTGACGTGAATGGCAAATACTATTAGTGTCATCGAAATGCGTGGTGTGAAGATTGAAAAATGCCAAATTTCCTGCTGAAATCTGGGTTTTCGTACACTTTCAAGTTATAGATAAATGATTCACAGATCAGCACGTTGTCATGTCAAGTCAATGTACCCAACCCCTTAATTGTATGAGAAAAGGCTTTACGATGCTCCGTAAGGAGTAGAGGGGGTTTGATGCAAGTTTTTCGAGTACATAGTGTGCGTTAAAAGCGTGAATGTGAATTTTTCTTGATGGAGAAAAAACTTATCAGGTCACCCCCCTCCCCCGGCTTTACCCCAAAATGCCCTATCTCAAACAATCAGGAAGGTCAAATAGACCAAACTACGGTATTGGATGATAGTTCTTACCATTTATAAAAGAAGAGTAGTCGCTTTTCTTCTCATAGTTCTGGAGTCGCATCTGTGCTCTGATATCTTTTAGATCTACTGAGGAATGTGGACTCTGCAGTTCTTCTCTGTACCTCTCGGCAAGCCCTAAAATTTTCTCTAGTTGTCGGTTCTTCTCCTGCAGAAAAAAAGAAAGAAAGAAGTGTTTAGAGAGAGAGTTTTAAAGAAGTGAGAAGAAAATGAAACGCTCCAACGTAAACGTTGTTGATAAATCGCTTGTCAAAAGTGGCATAATTTAGAAAAAAATAGAGAAAAGGATTCAAGACAAGACCGTAAGGCAGCATTCCATCAGATTTGTCAAATAAGCTCGATGGAAATGGCGTATCAACCGCAAAATCATTTAACCCTAATTGTACCTGTTAGAACTATTTTCCTCCGTTCAATCTCAAGAGCTAATGTCAAATGATCAAATCGTGCCATCAATATATCAAGTTCAAGTGCTGCGATTGGTCCAAGTCATCGAATAAGCCAATCACAACACCTGACCCCGAAGGTTCATTTGATCGTGTGACATTGGTTGATGAGACTTGGTTTTTTTCTGTTAAATTGGATTTTTTTGGCAAATTTTTCATATTTACACGGAGACCACCAGTCTCATGACAGTGATCAAATCGTGCCATCAATATATCAAGTTCAAGTGCTGCGATTGGTCCAAGTCATCGAATAAGCCAATCACAATACCTGACCTTGAAGGTTCATTTGATCGCGTGACATCGGCAGATGAGACTTGGTTTTTTTCTGTTAAATTGGATTTGTCTGGTTTCAACATTTCGTCAACGATTTTTTGTCCGCGCACCTGTTTTTTCCAGTAATTAACGTCCACGCGTTTTTTTTGCACGGGAGTTTTGGTCCACATGTAAATACAAACGACAATTCCTTACGACGTCTTTGGATGAACATATATAATGTCTTGGAAGAATGAGGGGTTGCTTGTTTTTTTGTTTTGTCTGTTTGGTCCAACGGAGAATGATATGTAGTTGAGAGTTTTGGTAAAAATGGGAGAGCGTCAATTCCATGATACAAAATTCATTAAAACTCTCAACACCTCTTTGGTGTAACAGGACTTAATTATCTTTCAAGAAATTCCCACCTTGTTATCCCTGAACCGAATAAACCTCTATAGTTGCCTCAGTTAAAGGCTCTTAGATTTTTCCTGTGTACGATGAGTATCTTGATTTATTTTGCGAGGAAAGATCTGTAATTTTAAAGGATGCCTGTCATTCTTAATCGTTCAATTTCGTATAATACTGTGCAACACCTCTGTTGTGAAATAGTTGCTGCAGGCGCCACCGCACGGCGGGTGAGCGGCCAGCTCGAAACGGGCATTGGCGCCTGCAAACCTAAGTGGATACTTCAAGCATTGTGCAATGCGTGAAGTATCCACTTAGGTTTGTAGGCGCCAGTGACCCTCTCGCGCTGGCAGCACACCGCTCCGCTCTGTTCGGCTTTAATATTTATACTCGCATAGTCAGCGTTTTTTAACTTATGATTTTGAAATGTTAGCACACTCTGCATTGATTATTCTCATTTAAATTGATTGGAAAAAAATATGTATCAATTTATCAAAACAGAATAATAATATAATATGTTTGTTTTTTAAATATTGGTGGTTCTAGGACAGTTTTGGATTTTTTCTTCCAATTTTCAGAAAATTGCATTTGCAAATTATTGTGTAGTGTCTGAACATTTCAATGGAAAAAAATTATTAACTTTCGTCGGAAATAAATATTTGAAGAAGGGAAACTGTGGCAATGACAAAATGTTGATTCGAAGTTTTTACTCGGCACGACGCTAAGATTCCCCGTTCAAAACGAGCTGCTCGGAATGGAATCAGGCAAAGCAGCTGTCAAAATCCCGTGGCCTCTCGTTATAATGCCGTGAAAGGGGGAATTTTCCGTCGATGAAAGGCATCGGATATATCTGTGAGGCACGTTCCACGCCGAAATACTGCGCAATGATGGTTTTATGACTGACTCCTTCTCACCGCGACCCCCGAGGATAAACCTAGCGTGGGAGTCCCTTCCGAATCCCCCTTCGTCCCCCACC